GTGCGTGCGTGCGTGCGTGCGTGCGTGCGTGCGTGCGTGCGTGCGTGCGTGCGTGCGTGCGTGCGTGCGTGCGTGTGCGTGTGTGCGTGCGTGCGTGTGCGTGCGTGCGTGCGTGCGTGCGTGCGTGCGTGCGTGCGTGCGTGCGTGCGCGTGCGGCGTGCGTTCGTGCGTGTGCGTGCGTGCGTGCGTGCGTGCGCGTGCGTGCGTGCGTGCGTGCGTGCGTGCGTGCGTGCGTGCGTGCGTGCGTGCGTGCGTGCGTGCGTGCGTGCGTGCGTGCGTGCGTGCGTGCGTGCGTGCGTGCGTGCGTGCGTGCGTGCGTGCGTGCGTGCGTGCGTGCGTGCGTGCGTGCGTGCGTGCGTGCGTGCGTGCGTGCGTGCGTGCATGCGTGCGCGCGTGCTTGCTCTTTGTGGATCAAGACACTGCACCAGCAGCACATAGCGCCATAGCGCATGCCTCGTTTGAGATCATTCTGGAGCTATCGTCTGACACTGAGATGTCTACGGCGTGAGACGAAACTGATCGAAACTGTTACACTGAATGAAGGTGATGAACTGCCCTGCATTCATTAAGTCTTGGGCAAGGACCTCTGCTTTGGCACCGCGTCGTGTGGCGTGAATCTCCTGTCGGTGCGACGCTTATGCGACAGGACGCTGCTTCCAAAGCTCAAGAGCAGGACAGCCTCCATCAGCACCTGCTCCGGTGACTTCTGCCTGACAAGTGGGAAAGGGATTTTTTTAGAGACTCCAAAACCCCTTAATTAAGGAATATACCTTAAATTCTAATAGGAACCCTAATATGATTTAAGGTATATTCTTTAATTAAGGGGTTTTGGAGTCTCTGGGGATCGTTGTAATGTTGACTTCGCATTAATAAACCCCCCCCCCCCCTTGATTGATCAATCTCTCCGGCCAGGGCCTCCTCAATTATATTCGCCTAAATCCTGGTAGGACGTACTATTAGTTTTAGTATTAGGTAGTAGCACCACGCCCGTTAAAAAAATATTCCGGGCTGGATTTTATAATTGTGGGGGGCTATATTTGTTGTGTTCCGGCAGCTGGATTTTATAATTGTAGCGGGAATTCCTAATGTGAAGTCAACATTAAGAACAAAGCGGTGAGGTCCCAACGCAGCCACCGCTGCCAGGGCAGAGCTCGCAGCCTGCAAGGCAAGTCGTCCTACAAACAGGATTGTGTTGTGGTGAATAAACCCTAAACCCTAAATCCTAAACCCTAAACCCCAAAGGCTCTATGAAACCTGACAAGCTGCGCCCGTTTCAAAAGAATGGGGGGGAGGGTTCAAGATGGCGCCTTCTCTTCGTCCAAGCAAGCCCAGAAGGATTCGGATGCCAACAGAATGAGGGCGTCGTTGGCCCAGTCCTCACGTGGGAAAACTCGTGAGCTGTAAGGGCTCCCTCTTCAAATCAAAGTGACTTCTATTGTCATCATCAGCGCCAACGTGTGCCAACGTCATCGTCGCTGCCACCAGTATCATTGTCGTCATCATTGTCATTGTCGTCGTCGTCCTCCTCCTCCTCCGCCGCCAATCATCAGCAGCATCGTCATCACCGTCATCGGCCTCATCACCACCACCTTCAAGAACACCAGCATCACCAGCGTTTACAATGTACATCATCACCACGACCCACGCCATCAGCACCATAATCACCATTTTTCATCTTCATCATATTCAACATTAGCATTCTGACATCGTTATCATCGATATCACCCCTACCATCATCATTCTCCTCCTCCTCGCCGTCGTCGTCGTCGTCATCGTCATTCTCATCGTCATCGTCATCATCATCATCATCATGATCGTCATCATCACCATCATCATCATCATCATCATTGTCACCATCACTGTCACCATCACCATCATCATCACCGCCACTCATATTGATCCAACACCATCACGACCATTTGCTTTCTACACCACACACGGTGTAGCTGCTGCCAACACAAGCACCTCTTGCATCTGAAGCCACACATGCCGCATGGGAAATGAGCGCATGTGCTTCTCAAGCCGTGCGCACGTTGCACGTGCATCACCCGCAACCGTCTAAGACTTATTGAGCTCGCACCATTAAGATTCTACGTACAACATGCTCACAAGATTTCAGAAGGACGTAGACTCTACATCAGTGCAACGAGGAAGCACAAGTCCCAAACATCCCTGCGAGCTCAGCCCAGCTTGTGGCCCCCAAACTCGATCCCTGCGGCCCAGTCCAGCTGACAGACGTCCAGCACCACAGCCAATCCAGCCGAACCTCCCTTGCTGAGGCAGAGGGTTTAGATTGCAGGGCTTCTAGGGATTCTGGTAGCTTGCAAGCTCCCGGAATGAAGAGAGACGTTCTAGAAGCAAGCCGGGTAGGAGTTTAGGGCTCGGGGTTTAGGGTTTGGCATCTAGGGATAACACACACTGCAGTACCTGGTGGGTTCCCAGAATTATTTACCCATTTGGATGCCCTGAATGTAAAGCTCTTTATTGCAACAGGAAGCTGAAACGGAATGTATTTCAGGGAACCAACTGCAGCAAGTGCGCAGTGCCTGATTTCAATCCTATAAAACCAGCCAACGGTCCCGATCTTCATACTCTGCCTCAACAGTGCTAAACCCTAAACCCTAAACCCTAAACCCTAAACCCTAAACCCTAAACCCTAAACCCTAAACCCTAAACCCTAAACCCTAAATTATCTTACTTCGAACATCCCCACCTTGCTCCTCGTAAAAAGGAAAGAGCGCACATAGGATGTTCAAACAAAGACACATTGATTCAAATACGCTGTCTTAGTTTTGCTTGCAATTGGGGTTGGGCACTCCAGGGAGACCCTGGGGTTGGGCACTCCAGGGAGAAGGGTTGGGCACTCCAGGGGGTCTGTGGGGTTGGGCACTCCAGGGAGACTCTGGGGTTGGGCACTCCAAAATTCTCTGGTTGGGCAATTTAGGGAGTCCAACAGTCTCTGGGGTTGGGCACTCCAGGGAGGCTGTAGGAGTAGACCGGGCGAGGAGAAGAGTTGAGTTTAAAATCCAACAACCCCACACCGAAGGTGGGGAACAAGAGCGACACCAGACCAGACTGAGTGCGAAGTTCTAACACATGTACGGTGCACCTTGTT